GAGATCATCAAATGTAATAATATTTCCGAAACAACAATTCATTATTAGAGATGCCATTGAAATCTGATACGACAGTGCATTTTAAGCCTGTCCTAATCTGTTATTCGTCTATACTTCTTCCTTTATTTAATCATCTTTGAAAATCACCTCAAAAAACATATTCAACCACCCTTCCTTACTTCCAAGACATTGAGTTAAGGCATATGACATGGGTTCTTTGCCAGCTAAGCCTATGAAGCAATGGTATCTCCACAAGCTAAAAGTACAAGTCACGAGGCTCCATGTTGAATTTAAAGAGCTTGATGATCGATCCGTCCAGCTGCGATAACAATCAAATCCTTTCTCGAAATATCATTTGCTTTTTCTGAAGAGTCTGTAGGTTATCCATACACTTCTTCAAGGAAGACTTGGCCAGCTCATTTTTTTCCATCTCAATCACTTGCAAAAGCTCGGGGATGAATCCGGTTTCACTCAGCTGCACCTCTGGAGAAGCATAAGCTACCACATCTGTTATTTCAACAAGACACTCCGCTGCAGCTATGTGCACCTGAATTTATGCAAGAACAAAGTGTTAAGTGTCAAAATATGTACTGTATTTATTTGCTTCACTATCTCAGAACTAATAATATAAAAGTAGCCACTGCCTTCACACAGCTTTGGGTGCTACACTAAATAAAAGTACTACTATGATTGTGTGCTGCCTTTAATAACACATTGTCAACATATATGCAACAGCAGTTAAATGGAGATATATCGATTGAGCTAAAGAAAGATAGCTTATTTATAGATCAAGGATCTAAATAATGAAAAGTTATAGATTTTAAATCACTTTTATTTTTAACTAATTTTATGTTGATTTTATATGAATCCTAATGATGGCATCTTTGGATGTCACTAGCTTGACATAGTACTAGTCTTTCATACACATTGTACAATTTTTAATTTTTCACAAGGAATTATTCATTCCCTTCATATTTGACAAACATTTTCATCTTTTAAATCCTCCAAGAATGATGAATAACCTATATTTCAAATTGTGAATTAAAATTCAATGCAAACTAGAATAAATAATTCTTTTTTTCGACTTCGGAGCAAATATTACAACAACAACATCCCAGTTGAATCCCACTACAGTAGGGTCTGGGGAGGGTGTGTGTACGCAGACCTTGCCCCTACTCGAAAGTAGGGAGGCTGTTTCCAAGAGACCCCCTGCACAAAAATTTGAAAGGGAACACAGTATAATACGGGTAAAGAGCCAAGTACAAGCAACAAGTACAAGCAATAGCAAAAAATTACAAACAAACCCAACATACTACAAACAACCTCTACAGCACCGAGCTCCTATCCAGTTACTCTAATCCTAGCTCTCCAAAGGTTCCTATCTAAGGCCATATCCTCAGTCAGGGTGAGAAGTCCTAAATCCTGCCTAATCACCTCCCTCCAATTCTTCATAGGTCTACCCCTTTCCCTACTTCCCCCGATAACCGTAATCCTCTCGCATCTCCGTACAGGGGCGTCAGCATCCCGCCGTCTCACATGACCAAACCATCTCAACCTCGCTTCCCGCAACTTATCTATTACCGGCGCCATGCCTACCTGACATCGTATAACTTCGTTCGAAATCCTATCCAACCTTGTCTTCCCACACATCCATCGTAACATCCGCATCTCTGCCGCATGCAGACGACGCACATGAGTCTTCTTAACTGCCCAACACTCTGTCCCATATAACATAACAGGTCTGACTACGGATCGATATAACATACCTTTCATCCTGGGCGAAATCTTCGAATCACACAACACCCCTGAAGCTAACCGCCATTTGGCCCAAGCCACTCCAACACGATGTCCAACATCCCCATCTAACTCTCCATCAGCCTGGATTACCGAGCCAAGATAACGAAACCTGTCTACCTTAGGTACTAGGTGAGAGTCAATCCTAACTTCCACTTCTGATTCTGTTTCCCGGCCGCTGAAACGACATTCCATGTATTCAGTCTTGTTCCTACTAATTCTGAATCCTTTAGTCTCAAGAGCAAGGCACCATAGTTCCAACTTATCGTTTAGTCCCTCACGTGTGTCGTCGATAAGCACAATATCATCTGCGGAAAGCATGCACCATAGGACCCCTTCTTGAACACCTCGAGTTAGGACGTCCATCACCAAGGCGAACAAAAAAGGGCTAAGGGCAGACCCCTGGTGCAACCCCATCCCAACCGAGAAAGACTCAGAGTCGCCCCCGGAAGTCCTTACCCTGGTCATAGCCCCATCATACATATCCTTGATCGCGCGAGTGTACACAATGGGAACTCCTCTCGTCTCAAGGCACCTCCATAAGACCTCCCTTGGCACCCTATCGTACGCCTTCTCAAGGTCAATAAACACCATATGGAGGTCCTTCTTCCTAGCCCTATACTCTTCCATTAACCTCCTCACGAGATGAATGGCCTCTGTAGTCGATCTGCCAGGCATGAAACCAAACTGGTTCTCAGAGATGCAAACCCCTTTCCGCACCCTATACTCAACGACTCGCTCCCAAACCTTCATGGTGTGGCTAAGCAGTTTGATGCCTCTGTAATCGCAGCTCTGAATGTCACCTTTGCCTTTAAACAGAGGGACCAAGAGACTCTCCCTCCACTCATCAGGCATGCTGTCCGGAGGATAACATTGAAGAGTTTGGTTAACCAAACCCTCGCACCCCGACCCGCATGCTTCCAAAATTCCACCGGAATCTCATCTGGTCCCAAAGCTCTCCCACTACGCATCCCGCGGATAGCCCGAACCACCTCTTCTTGGCAAATATTAAGAAGAAAATTTTGCATCCGATTCCCAACCAAAAAAAAGAAGTTAATTGGACAAAAGACCATCCATCATCAACTTAATCCCAATTCCCAACCACGGAGATCTATGATTTTGTATCGTGGGGGCAATTTTTCTCTCCAATTTTGGGGTAGTGAATTGGAAGTTTTCCATTAGAAAAATAGATTAAAATACTTGCATTTATAGTGATGGAACTTTAATTCCACTGAATATATTTCTCACAATCTCTCTCTCAAGAATTACAGAAAATTCAATGAATTAAGAGACAAGAATATTAGACTCAAGACTTGTATGAAAGGACTTGCTCTATTCGAATCCCTTGGGGAGTATTTATAGCTTCCTATTAGACTTCTCTTAGGGAACTTAGGTAAACCTTTCCCGAAGTAATAAACCATAGCTACACGGCTCCAGCCCATTAAGCCCTCCTCACAGCCCAGGCGGGTTTAACCCGCTGATCAGTTTATGGCTTGCCTCTAGTCACTGGGTTGAATAATGCGGATACATATATTGGGCTAATTACATTCATAATTACATCTCGGCCCAATATACCCATCATATAGTATATTGACCCAAAATCAGCTCCCCTATAGGCTCACTATTGTGTTATAGTGGCATAAAATTTATACAACACCGCATAATCCGAACTCTATTAGGGTTTTGGGGGGGGGGGGGGANGCAACACGTACAAAGTCTTATCCCTGTAAAAACAAAGTGGGTGTTCCCGTTAGAACCTAGATGCATTGCTGCATTCACTACCTAAAACATCACATAATGTAAGAAGCACGGGAAGTTTAATGTTGCATTTTGATTTAATCAATTATGTGCCTGAAACTAAAACTCTCAAGAATGATATTTTCAGCTCCATTGGCAATGTATGGATTGAATTATTGAAAATGACAAATTTAGTGTAAATTAATAGTCTAGAACTACTAGGCAAGGCCATGAAGATACAAAATGAAAATATCCTAATGTGATCAAATAAAGAACAGCAAAGATAACATACCTGGGCTATTTTTATAGTACGTATACAATTAAGCACTTTTGATGATGTCTCACTGAACAGCTGATATTTAACAGAAGAGCAACTTAGAACCCAAGATGGCAGCCATTTTAATTTTCAGTGTTAAGAAAAAAACATGAGGTCTACATTACCTCATGAACAAAAGATCTAATACTTTTTGGAAGAGAAGAATCTTTAGCACCAGTAATCTGTTCGTGAATTTTTGAGCATAGTTCTGTAACTGATGTGAAAACTGCAATTTTAACTGTCCAAAACCAAACATTATTGCTAGAGAACAGAATGACATGTGTGAGAAGAGAATAGAAGAGTGTGATATGAGAGTTACCAATCCATGGAATACTAGCAGTAAGTGAGACTAAGAAAACCTTGAACATGTTCTTCCGATGTTGGATGATGTCATCCAACTGTGCTACATGTATGGAAGCAGTAATGCAGTTCACTATTTTATCATGTCCAGCGGAGAAATTTTCCTCCTCATCTTCAAAATAATAGCAACAATAATAATAATAATTAGTGATCAAACAAACAAGTTACCTAAACAAAACATTCATATCAGATTAGAAAAGATCCTAATCGCAAGTGAGCAAACCCCTAATGACAAGCCTAACACGCATACTTCTATGGTTGATAAACAACTTCATACGCAAAATTCCATATGAAGTGGATAGGAAGATACCTGCAGCCTATTTGATCAATACATGTACTGGAAGACACATTTTCTTAAAGCAGGAGTTGAAAATTCACCTTAATGGCTGAAGTGAGTACCTGTTTTAACATCACTACTTGAAGTGGAGCAGCACATTTCACACAACATTGGGAAAACCTTGCTGAAGAAGTCTGGATTATCAAAGGCTTTAATAACCTAACAATATTGTCACATGGTTTAAAGGTGTCAATATGAAAAACAGAATGAAAAATTCCAATGAAAAATTATTACTAATAAACATCAAGAAAGAAACCCATATTAAGTTACTCCATCCATCCAGATATTTACTTCTCACTTACCTTTTTGGACCGTCCGAAGATTTTCTTCTCATTTCCTTATTTGGCAAATTATTTAATGTAAAATATCTCATTTACCCCTTCCATTATCTTACCTACCATCCCCATTACTCTCTTCTAAACCTAGAATTATCCACAAATGCCACCTGCCACATTTCATCATCCTCTTCTTCCTTCCATTCTTCTTCTTCCCCTTGGATTCGTCTTCTTCTTCCTTTAGATTTGTAGATCGCCACTACCGCCACCATGTTCTTCTTCCTTCCTTCAATCCTTCGTCTCCCTTCAATTCTTCTTTTTCTTTTAACTTTATAGCTTTAGAAGATCTACTGATTCTACTCCATGGCAAAATCTATTCCAACATTGAAGGGTTCAGGACTAGATGGGCAGCATCTCGAAGCAAGAAAATCCTTGCATGCATCTCTAGGAATGCAACGCCTTGTGGCAGGAGCAGGAGCAGAGGCGAGGTTATGGTCACCGTACTTGTGGATGTCGAGTGCACGCAAAACATAGTGACTAGAATTGTGCATGTTGCAGTCATCACTCATCAGACTCTAGCGGAGGCAGGTCGTGGTCACCGTGCTTGTGGATGTCGCAGTAGCGTGAGCAGAGGTGGAGGAAGGCGTGGTAGGAAGGTGCCTGGGGTGCGGCTGCACCATTAATTACTGTCTTTTTAAATTGAGGTCTCTCGGAATTCAATTGAAATTCCCTTTGCTTGTTAATTTCTACTCCATTGCAAGATCTACTCCAACATTATTTTCTCTTTGAATTCAATTGAAGTTACCTCTGTATGGCAGTATTCAAGTTAGGCAAGCAAACAACGTACAAACATTAGAGTTGATGAATAGTGTAGGGGCAATTTAGACAAGACAATACGAGTTTTTACTCTCCTAAATAAGCCTGTTGGGTAAACTGGGGAAATAAATTCCCGGACAGAGTTTATTATTATAAAATAGATGTCAAATCATCATAAAGGCATGTACTAAAAATTCATCAAGTGCCAATGAAATGGGACAATACAGTTAATTTAGTTTTTAAAATAAGTGTAGTAACAGATCAGGTGGGTGGTGGCTGATTAGCGAAAGTGAGTAGAAGAGATTTTACGTGTAGAGAATGAGAGGAATATGAAGATAGATAGATATATTATACCAACGTATCAAGGAATACATAGCAGCATCTCAAGAGTTAAGAATAAGGTTGTTCTTGTCAACTTTCAACTTTGAATGGCAAAAGAACTACGATGGTTGATGTAATGAACATGGATTAAAATAAAATCATTAGAGTTCGAAAATTACAGAGTTTCCATCTCCTCTGTTTCTTTATAACTCCTTTTATTCTTGTTAGTGCAATCAGATTCCCAAAATGTAGTTTGGTATCAAATGATAAACTGAAAGATGGAACTATAAAAATATCCTACCAAAACTATGTGACAGTCTCAAAGCAAATAAAATTCAAATTCAAACTAGCAATCAATCAACAATCATTGGGATATTAAATCCCAATGATTTCCTGAGAAATTAATCGACTTCATTCCATGATTTGTGTTGGTAGTATCCATCAAACAATGCATCACCCCCTTATTCAAATCATTGCATAGTCACAATAAGCCTTGGGAAAACAAACATGTCATAATGGAGCAAAAAACCGTGATAGCAACACAAGAATAAAGGAAACGTATGCTTTTGTTTTTGAGGCAGGGGGAGGGGGTGGGATTGAGTTTGTTTGCCCGAGACTACAGAGCTTCTAAGAAGCAGAGTTTAGAATAACACATGTAATAAAAAGTAGAGTTTTGATTTAGCATTGTAATTCTTCATGCAACAGTTGAGCTTTGAGCTGGATTAGGGTAATCTCTTTGGGACATGGATTTGAGGTGGTGTATTACAATGTAAAAAGATGTGAGCTTTATGTTGGTAGTACTCCCCAAGGAATACTTCAACCTTCAACCTTCGATCTCTGCATCGTCCCTCTCAGGAACTCTAGATTTGATTATTTTTATGTTTCATTTTTTCATCGCCATCTCTTCAATTTTGATTTCGTTTAGTGTTTTAATATTGATTTTGTTTCCCTTCTGCATGTGAGTAACGTTGGGTCACCGGAGAGAGCAGAGGATGAGTTAAGACATAAGAGGCAGTAGCGGGTTTGAGGTTGAAGAAAAAAATTGTTGTGATGGAGGCAGGAGAGGGGATAGGTTAGAGGTTGAAGAAGAAGAAGAAGAGAAAAGGTCTGTGATTGAGGACACACGATAGGGGCGGGGTAGTGGGTATGAAAAGGAAGAAGAAGAGTGCCAAGGGGCGTACAGTTGAAACATGAAAGGGGAAAAATGGAAAGCTTAAGCATTTTACAATAAAACCGTGTCATGCCAGAATGGGAAGAACCAACTTCGACAGAGAGTATAACTTTATTTTTGCGTGTCAATTGATATGTTAAGTGCCTCAAGAACGAGGCAACAGTTAGCCATCCCCTTTTTCATTGTCTACAGGCTTTGGAATTGCAGCTTTTTCGTCCTAGAGTGGCCTCACATAATTCTTTCGGCTTAAAGTGAAGAAAGTATTTTGAGGTTAGCCTCGCTCAGTTGCTTTTAAGGTCTTCAAGTCTCCATTGAAAATTTTCGAAACCTTTTTTTGTTGTAAAGAAAAACTTTGTATAATCCTCCTTTCATTCTATTACGTTGTAATTTTCAAAACCTCGATAAGTTTTTCTTTTTCTTGGTTAGGCTAAGATTTCTATAATGAACTTTTTGTTAGGTTCATTGTTTTTTGTTCTTATAAATATTTTCACGACAGTAATCCCCCAGGCAACCGACAATGACTGTTACACATTTTAAAACAAAACAGCAGTTGTTTCGAACTAAGTTCAGAGACCTTTTCAAGTTAGGGAAGGCTCCTATATACAAGGCTTGCTTGGTGCAATGAATTTGAGTAGGATTAGATTGATCCCAC